GTCAAGCATTGGAACAGGCTGCCCAGAGAGGTGGGGGAGTCCCCATCCCTGGAGGGGTTCAAAAAACGGGCAGAGGTGGCACCTGGGGACATGGTTTAGTGGGCATGGGCGTGTTGTGTTGATGGTTGGACTGATGATCTTAGAGGGCCTTTCCAACCTTAGTGATTCCTAGGTTCACTTTCATTAAAAAATAATCCAGCCACCCAGCCAGGAAACATGAAATTGCTACTCTGCCTGGAATTGGTTTAGTGGTGGACTTGGTAGTGTGAGGTTAATGATTGGACTGGATGATCTTAAAGGTCTTTTCCAACCTGAACGATTCTATGATTCTGTGCTTAAGTTTACTACTGATATTTACTGTAAACCCAAAGTTTAATGTTAATAAAGGACATCAAAATCGTTTTGGGAAGTGAAAGTGACCATTTTCTTTAAAGGTTCGTCTTTTTTTTTTCCCTTTTTTTTCCTTCTGTCATTGATACTTAATTTTTTGTCTAAACCTTTCTCTGAATTTTTCTACAGAAATTCTCCATCTCCCAGCTCTGTAGCCAGCAGCGACTCAGGAAACACAGATGAAATTCAGGATGAGTTGGACAGAGAGACGGATGTGGAGCCCATGGTCAGCTGATACGTAATTGGAGCATTCCAGTGAAAGGGAAGATACAAGAAAAGATCAAAAAACAGTACACTGATGGGGGGAAAAAAAAAAAAAAGACTTGTAAGCCCTTGCACAGGGTTTCTAAGGACTCATTCCTACACGCATCCCCACCCCACCCGAGGATTGGTGCTGTAAATTTCTATTGTTATACAAATCATAAATGCAGAGTCCTGTAAGAAAACATGGTGTTTTAATTGTGCCTTTGCCCCAAGCTGAGCCACTTTGAGCTCCAGTGGAATATTAATAGCAGGTGTTTTTATAAAAAATATTATTTAAAAAAAAAATCTGGTAGCAGCAGAGAATGGTGCTGCAAAGGCTCTGGGTATTTCAATAAGCTTATGGTTTTATTGAACTGCTCCACTGATTGGCAAAAGGAACACTGGCAAAATGAGAAGCGAACCCAAGACAATTATGGTGCAATTACCAATGTCTGGCACAAAAAAGAATGCCTACAAATTGAACTGTAAACACTTAAAAATAATAGTGGGTTTAGGAGACAGCTTTTAGGATTAAGCAGTAATACAATATTAAAAGGAATTTCTTCATTCCATCTTTTTGGGTGAAGGAGCCTTTGAGATTTGTACAAGCTTTCTGCTAGACTCCAGAACCTGAAGAAGCAGGTCTCAGCTCGGTGGCAAAGCAGGTGGACGAAGGAGGGTTCAGTGGGGTGGGACTATCACTCTACTATGAAAAAAAAAAAAAAAAAAAAAAAAAAAAAAAAAGCTCGCCTTATTTATATGGAATGTTTGGTCCCTGCTGAGCTACAGTTATCTCTTGGGGAAAGGAAAGCTAAAAACACATTTGCACATGTTAGTTATCTGTAGAGCTTCTTTTGAGGAGGAATGTCGTATTACGATGCCTTTGTTTCCAGTGTTTGGATTAAGAGGGGAATCTGCCCTTCAGTTCCCGTGTTGTTTTGTGTTTTCCTTTTTCAGGATTTTTTTTTTAAAAAAAACATAGTGTTTGCAGATTTTACTTTGCTGACAGGGAGGTAACTCCATTTTATGCTGCTTTCATGATGTTTAGAGTGGGATAGTTGAAGCATCAGGATAAACTGACGTGCGGTGGTATAGACGTAGGCTTGAGACATGACATTGGGAGAGTTCCAGACCACTGTTCTTCAGAAAAGCTGAACATCGGAAAATACTGTAATCCTTTTTAGGGCGCAGTAAAATGAATCCCAAACTACTACTGCCCTAGAATTAGGGAAGAACAGCCATGTGCTTTCTCTGTGAGAAAGTGAGAACACCTAGGCTTTGTCAGTCTTTCTGTATTTTTACACAGGAGAGAGCAGCATCAAAAGTCAGAGCACTTGGTGGTATTTGAGGAAACTCTGGCATCATCAAGCCATTCATGGCTATTAATGGGAATTGTAGCACCTCAGCCAGGTAAAAACAGGGTATAAACCTCAGCCAATAATTTTTTGTTTGTTTTTCTTAGACCAAGATTGAAAGTGTAGTTAATACTGCCTAAAGGTAACTGTGTAGTTAACTAGCAGTTGCAAGACTTGGAGCAAATACCAAATGTTTTTTTTTTTTTTCCTGCCAGGAAGCTTAGAAACTGCTATGTAGGAGCAGTGCTAGGACTGGACAGGGAAATGCCCGATTTAAGCACCCTCTCAGTGTTATGTAAAGGTAAGCTGGCCAATCTTCCTCAGTATTGTTTCCCAGCCTCTCCTATGTATTGATCGGAAATCAGCGGGGTTGCATTGTAAGCATACAGGCAGTATAGATCAGCGTTGCTTTTTCCAAAAAGAGCACGCGTGTCTCGGCAAAGGGCGTGTTCCTGGGCACAAACGCCTCTCCGCCTTGCGCAGCTGCGCGGGGGGGCAGGACCTCAAGGGTTGCTGTTCGCACCGTAACCGTGGGTACGGTAACGTCTTCTCAATTCGAGTTTCATCGCTGTTCAGATCCGTCTCCTGCTTGGACACGCTGGTGCTTTTAGGCCATGTCAATCAAATGGGCTCCCTGCGTTTTTCAGAGTGGGGAGGAGCACTGGGATGATCCATCTGGATCCACAGTGTGGAGGCCACGATCCACAATCCATGGCTTCTGTCCAAGAAAATAGATCCAAGGATATTCTTGTGGTTTCCTTACTGATTGAAATACTCAGTGCAGTTATTCATAGAGTAGCTAGCAATTTCTTGGTTCTTGTGGTGTGGGTTAAGGGCTTTTTCAAAGCCTGTTTCATCATGTAGACGTAGATAACTTTTCTCTGGAAAAGAAACCTTATTCCAAAGTGCTCGCTCCTATTATTTCTTAGGTGGCCAAAGCGGTAGATGTCATGTTCACTAGGGCTGCAGGTTGGGGTGGGTGGGGGCAAGAGATGTGGTATTTTTTTGAGGGGGCTGGGACTGCATGTTTTCAATAAAGTACTCCTAAGGTTTTCAAGCCTGTATGAACTTCAGCTGCTAATATGTAGTTTCTCACGAGGCTGAGAAACCGTCTGCCAAAGCTGAATGTCTGTAATGCTTTAGTGACTTCGGTGGAGGCATCGTTAAGCAATCTACTTGCACAGTGAATCAGCCTCCTCGGAGGCTGTCGTTCAGCTCTCCTCAGTTATGAAATGCTCTTTGGTACTGGAGAAACTGAGCAATTTTAACGGCCATCCGGCTTAGCTGCTGGTTTTGTTTCGTTTTTTTTTTTTTTCTTTAAAACTCAGTGTCCTAGCAGGAAAAAGGCTGAGTGTTCTTCAAACTGGTAGCTGGTCTGTTGAGGGTAGGAAAGAATATCCTCGGTTTGACAGTGAGAGCCAAGTGAAGAAGCAGAAATTGAGCTGTTGAAACAAGCTGGCTGTAACCTGCAGTTTATCTCATAGCCATAATTACGAGGAGCATCCGTAGTAGGGTTGCGTTTGTCGGTAAGTGTAAGGGATGCGGGTCTATAGTAAAGGGTATAGAAATAATGTGTACAATGGTGATGTGTATGACGGTAAATTACCATGGTTGTTGGTGTCTGTTCCTTATAACCATATGTAATCCATTTTTAAAGAGGAAAAGGTGTTTTCGTAGTCGGGATCGGGGTTTTATTTTCATTTAGGCTGTTTAGGACTCGGTGGATCGACCTTTCGGGAGTTAGGAGGGTTGGTCCTAGATAGTTTCCCTAGGAGGTCTTTGGTTTAGTTTCAAGCGATGCTGCTGATTTAGCTGACAGTGGTCCTGTTCTGTTCGCGTTTAACCACTCTGTAGAAACCAGATCAAAAGCTTGCCAGAAAAAAATTGTGAAAATGCTGGAAATGATTTTGATGACCTCTTTCTTTTTCCTTTGTAAAGCTGTAAATACTTTATTTTTGTTTTCTATTCTTAATGCGGTGTCATATTGACACTTTTTTAGACTTACAATCAGAAAATCCTCCTCATTGTTTCTCATTTTTTAAAAGGGGATTTCAAGGAAGCAAATTTTTTTGCTTGTTAGCAGTGTAATAATAGATCAAATTCCTAACATGGGTTTGTACAAAAAAATGTTTTCAGTAAACAAATGGCAGTTGCTTTTGTGGATGCATGTTCAAAAATGTCCAAAGAATAATGTGGTACAAACGTTTTTTTCAAAGACTTAGTAATTATCATGTTAGTTCACACAATGAAAAAACAAAATTCTTTAGGAAAAAAAAAAAGTGTTGGGGGGGAACGTAATGAAACTCATCTAAGCTAAATGTGTAATCTATTTATAAAAAACCACAGTATATATTCTATTTTTATTAGAAGTTTTTAAAGTGCAAACAGAATTCTGTTAGCAAATGCAATTATTCCCTTGTAAAGTATCTTCTGCTCTGATGGGACTCCAAATTCGCAACGGTTTCAAGCGACACCTTGGAAACAATCTAACAGGTATGGCTGTGAAGCACTCGCCCATCGCTTCCTGGGAGCAAGAGAGGGGGAAAGAAAAACAAGTTAACAACTTTTCTGCCACTGTAGAATTATTGCTGGGGTGGTTTTTTTTCTTCCCCCGATTGTGAGGCATTCTGCTGGAGAGGGGAAGGACCTCATTTGCCGCCCTAAATAGCGGGGGCGATTGCAGCACAGAGGTCTTAATCTGCTCCAAAGTGGGGTTTGTGTTCTACCTGGTTGGAAGATAAATTGTGTTTGTCTACACCGGTATAAATTGGATTTAACTTGATGAAACAAAATAGTAGATCAGAATCGTGCCTGAATATAGGTCTAAAGCTGCTAAGATGAGGTTTTGGTTTTGTGGTTTTTTTTTTTTTTGCGTAACCATTCCTGCCAGCAAAAATACAAGCTGGGTCATCAGTCCCGGGTTGGCCAGGAAAAGCCACGGCGATCGGCGGGTGCTCACAGCCTTGCCGCAGCGCTGCGGTCTCCGTAAAGCAGCTATTTCCTTCCATTTCCCTTGGCTCTGGAAAAATGTGGAAGAATGTTTGTGTTGGAGCGCGCGAGGAAGAGAATGGCAATACTGGGAAGTCTCTGACTGTGTTTCATGTTTGAGAGTGATTCATTTTAGAGTTGAATGTTTAAAGCATGTTTTATCACAGCAAAATTAAGAAATGATAGTGCTTCCATGGTGTAATAATTACCCTGATGAGGATTTTCCACATGTCGCTTCAGGATTTCTGGGGTTTTTTTATTCTTTTGCACGGGTCCAGAACTTGGTTGCAGGGGAACACACAAGTTTTAAAAATGTTTGCCTTCAGTGTTAAGTCACCCAAATGCTTGATTTTTAAGCTTTTAGTAGAGTGTAACTTCTGTCAGTTTGAGATTGAAATGAGAAGAAATTGCCAGTCGTGGCAACGCATAGTATCCTGGTGGTAGTAATGCTGGGTTTAAGGTGAACTAGAAACGCTGCCTGCCAAATTCTTAATTCAGTCCCTTGCTCACCCGTTTCTGGAGAGGGGAACACAGAAGGCTTGAACCCAAGTCTTTGGCAGAGTAGCGAAGAAACACTTGATTATTTCTTTTCGTCTGTTTTTGTGTGTAGTTCAGTGTCTTAAGACCCTTCCGCATTTGCGGGAGCCTT